ACTTGCGTTTGAGATCTTGTTGAACATCTTTTCGTGAGCTTGTTGACCATTTGTGTATTTTCTTTGAAGAAATGTCTGTTCAGGTCCTTTGCCCATTTCTTTAAAATTGTCTTTTTGTTATTGAGTTCTTTATATATTCTGTTTACTAGAATATTATTAGTTATGCGATTTCTTTTCACCCTCTTAATATTTGGTGCACAGAAGTTTTTAATTTTTATGAAGGCTAATTATCTATTTTTGTTTTGTTGCTTGTGCTTTTGGTGTGATATTTGAGAGACCATTACCAAATACAGAATCAAGAAGATTTGCCCCTGTTTTCTTTTTTAAGTTGTAGAATATAGGTTTCACTCTTATATATAGATTTTAATTCATTTTGAGTTAGTTTTTGTCTATGGTGGAAGGTAAGGGTTCTGTTTTTCTTTTCCTTTTTGCATGTGGCTATCCAGTTGTCCAGCACCATTTGTTGAAGACTAGTCTTCCCCCCTGAAGGTTGTAGACATTCCTCTCAAAAATCTGATGTTCTTAGATACATAGGTTTGGTTCTCACAAGTCTTTCATTGATTTATATGCCCATACTTATGCCTGGGGTAAGTTTTGAAATCAGGAAGTGTGAGTCCTCCTTTATTTTTTAATTTTTCAAGATCACTTTGGCTATTCAGTATCACAGAGCTGTGTAGACTTGTGGTCTTTGTTCGATCCTAAGGAAGATGTAGGGGATTTGGATAAGGTCCTTGTATAATAAGAATAATTAAAATGATCCTGGGTGTGATAGGCGTATTCCGGTAGTTTGGCCTGTCTGATGGAAAAAAGAAGGCTGAGGGGACTTTCTGACCAACTTGTAAAATAATGAAGAGTAAGGGCAGCACAGGCTGACTTGGGCACCGAATACGGATGCGCTAGGAGGAGGGGGTTGTCTGGTGTAGTTTGAAGTGGCAGTGGTAGTGTGCTTGTTAAACAGGACAGCACTCCACCCAGGAACTAATTTGATGTAACTTATCTCCAAGAAGTACTTAACATAAGCTACAAATCATAAACACTGTAGCTTTAAAACATGTTAGAGCATTCACAAACCTTTATCTCCCAGGACAGACGTGCCTGTTTTCGGTATGCCTCTTACCTTGTGAGGTTTGTGCCACCACCTACACTGTGTCCCCTGGTGATATGGTCTCAGGCCTGATATTGGGTGAGTGGTTCTGAGGATCTCCCAGTGAACCACAGCCTCATCAAGCGTCTTCCATCTTCCCGCTGTCCTGCCTGTGGTGAGTCTGTCTTGTGGGACCTGGCTGTGTTAGTGCCTGCACAGCACGCAGCCAGGCCCAGTCTGCCCAGGCGGGGGATTGTCAGCCTTCATCAGCCTTCCTCAAACACAGCCTCGCTCACAATCAAATCTGCATTCATTTCTTACCACAAACCACCATACTTTGGAACCTTATGTTCAAATCCTGCCAAAGCGGTTTTGTCTTTTTAGTTCAGGTTTGACTAGCTTGTTAATAACAAAATTCTGTGCTAATGGGAATTTTGTTCCTACCCCTTGTTAACTTGTTTGTGTGTAGAATGATTTTTTTACTCCTCCGTGATTGGTTTTCCTAATTGTGTTATTTCAACTACGTAACTGTTAGATATGTGTTGTTTATATTCACGTGTGTAGACTGATTTAACTTGATGAGTCAATATGAAACATTATAAAGGCTGTTATCCGTAATCCAGATTTAGCTTTCAAAAACATTGAAATTAGGTTTGTGATTTATAGCAAATTTATAGTAAATTCAGATGTTTGTGTAATTTTATTATCACTTTGTTTTAGTGAAAAATGAATATTTACAGAATGTCTGCCTTTAAAGTTCAGGATAAGGTATATAAAACTTAAAGCAGAACTTCCCAGTGTTGGATCAGTGCGGCAAACAATGTGGAATTTAGAAATAAACTGGATTCTCATTTCAGCTGGAGGGTTTTAGAGGTCACCTTTCTGGTTAATCAAGAGGAAAATGAGGTTCAGAAAGGTTAAGTGACTTGCCCAATGCCACGCGACTCACTCACTGGCAGAGCTGAGGCTCCAGCAGCACCTGGTGCTGTGGTCTCGCTTTAACTTGCCACTCCCCAGTGAGTGGATAAAGAGACAAATGTTAAGTGTGTTTGAGTTTTACATTGAGAATTAGGGTTAAAATTTATTGAGCATCTATTTGGTAAGCACTTTTTAATTTCATTGAATTCTTACCTAGCCTGTGACATAATTACTAACAGTTCCACTTTACAGATTAGGAATCCAGGGTGCGTGAGGGTTCCTCACTTGCTCAAGGTCATGCGATTAATATCAGAGCTGGTTTCTGAGCCAGGTCTTTCTGACCCGCTTCCTGCTGTGATGCCCCGCCGCCGCTCCAGCGATAGGAACGGACACCTTTCCAAGGGTGCGGGCAGTAGTGGTGGTCACATTAGAAATAGATCTTTTTCAGACTTGTCACTCATTGTAAAACACATAGACTACACAGATGGGTGCAGAGAGGAGCTTTCTCCGAGTACCCACAGCACTTAACGGGTGTTTGGCTAATCTTTATACCATTTCTGTAAGATAAATGGCATTTTTTGGTTGGGCAGCCAAGGCCCAGATAGATTCAGGGACTTGCTCAATTCCTTATCGCAAACCCACAAGGCCCTGCTCCCAATTCCGGTCTTCGTCCAGTCTAGCATAGATTTCACCACTTTTGTTCTTTCCTGTCTTACACCAAGATTGGTTAAGTACTTCCCAAAAATAATGAGCCGCGTGTGGGTGTGCTCCTTCTCCGGGATGAGTCACGGCGAAAGGGGCCGGGAACCCATGAAAGGAGGATAAGTATCTGGAATCAGAGACTCCTGGCTCCCAATCGACAACTCTGGAGTGAGCTTTTTTCAAAAGGCGGCTGCAGGTCTGGCCTGTGTGTCCCAGGGAGCTCAGAATAGCCCTCTTGGAGTTGTTCGCTTTCCCTTCTCGCTTCCCAAAATAGACCCAATGCTGTTCTCTTTGCTGGATAGCCTGGTGCATGCAGTGAAAGGAGTTCACTCCACAGGGAACCCCTTTTGTGCTTGAATGTCCCCACTGACAAAAGGAGTGACTATTGGCTTCCCTGAAATAACAGGACTACAGCCTGAGTAAAAGAGATTTGAATTGAGCATTCGGAAAGTCACAGAAGTAATTTTGTTAACGAGGAATAAAAGAGGGAGCAAATAAAGGTATTTGGGAGGAAAAATGGAGAAGGTTCTTTAGTCTTTCTTGTGTCTAGAAGGGTTGGAATTGAAGTTTCAGAGGCACTTCCTTTTAAAACTCCTTCTAGATTTGGAATGTAGCCTGAAGAGTACCTGCTTTAAACTTCCTGCCTTTCAGAACGTAACACGGCCCCAAGCCTCAGCAGGCAGCTACATGTCCTGGAATTCCTCCCAGTAGAAAGCGATCTGATCAGATGCTGTGAAGAAAATAACCACAGGCCGTGCTGCTGTTTACCTGTCAGTGCTCTCTCCCTTGTTTCCTTGGCCGGGACGGCAAGGGATGGAGCCTGGAAAGGAGGGGTGTGACACTGAGGTATTTAGAATCTGTCTTTGGATTTGAAAGCCAAGAGGTGCCTCCCATTGCATTGGAGAAAGAGACAAAGATAAACTGTTGACAGCCTAACAGGGTGAGTTACAACAGGCTAGGTTTTCATGGTACTGGTCATATGTGTCTCTTCTCTAGGGGCCCACTCGGTGTCCAGGTAGTAGCCACCTAGTGTCTAGCCTGGGCCTACCACTTCCGTCCCCTGATGGGCGAGTGCTTGGCTCAGCACTGTGAGTCTCAGCCTAAGCATTGTAGTGGCTAAAGCCACGCTCCTGCCCCTCCCAAGGGGTCAGGGCTCGGTTAGGCTCCGGGAGACAGTGCTGGGCAGAACCAACTGCTGCTGCCTGTGCTATTCCTGACCGATCAATTAAGGAGTTCAGACTCCAGGGCTGCTGAACTAGCTTTCAGAGGCACACTCACTTACAGTAATTTCCTCTCAATAGTCTACACTAGTGTATACTACACATCCAGCTAAACTCTCTAGGCCCAGAGATGATGGCATGCACTACCTATTTTTTTTTGGGGGGTGGGGTGGGGTGGTATATATTACTCTTTAAAGTGATATCCTGAGACCTTTCAGAATGGGTAAAACACATTGAGTGCTTTTTGTGCATTAGCTCATTTAACCCTCGCTATAACTTTATGAGGTAGCCATTGATATTATCTTCTTTTGGCATTGTTTTTGCCCCTCGTGAGAGAGGTGCTTGACTTGGACTAAAGGAAGAGGATGTTAAACAGTCAGGGGAAGCTTTTTTTTTAAATCCTCACCTAAGGATATGTTTATTGATTTGTGTGTGTGTGTGTGTGTGTGTGTGTGTGTGTGTGAGAGAGAGAGAGAGAGAGAGAGAGAGAGAGAGAGAGAGAGAGAAACATCAATGTGAGAAACATCTATCAGTTGCCTCCTGCAGCACCCTGACCGGGATCGAACCCTTAGCCTTTTGGTGCACAGGGTGATGCCACCCAGCCACGACGGCAGGGGAAGCTTTTCAAAGAAAGTGATGTTTGAGCTGAATTTTAAAGGATTTGTAAGAATTGGCCAGGAAAAAGAGCATTGCAGCAAAAGATTATATGAGAGCATGCATACTGACTGCATTCAGGAGACTAGGCGTCGAAATTTAAAGAAAAACGTCTTTCCCGGTCACAAAATTATCTGTATTAAGTCTAAGGCAAAGTTCAAAAGGCAGTTTCTCTGTGTCTGAGGCATAAAATAGAGCACCGAGAGGAAAGTGGTGGGGCCTAGAAAGTCTTGTTTGTGAGCTGAATAAACAGGTGAAAGGTTGTGTCTCTATTGACGATACCATCTTTCTGACCCAATCTCTATAAAAGCTCCTTACTTTGGAACATTAAGGATGCTAAGGAATGCTATTCTAAGTCTGTGAAAGGACCTCGGATAAGATCTAATTTGTGATGTCAATGTCTTCTCCCAAATTTTCTGCAGCTCTGCTGTGTACATGCACCAACTGCCTACAGGCCAACTACACGTGTGAAACGGATGGGGCCTGCATGGTTTCCATCTTCAACCTGGACGGGATGGAGCACCATGTGCGCACCTGCATCCCCAAGGAGGAGCTGGTCCCCGCCGGGAAGCCCTTCTACTGCCTGAGCTCCGAGGACCTGCGCAACACCCACTGCTGCTACACCGACTTCTGCAACAAGATCGACCTGAGGGTGCCCAGCGGTGAGCGGACGCCCTTGTGGGCCTATTGGCTCATCTTGGGGAGAGGGCACTCCTGTCATTTCATCCTTCTCTGTGCTTCCCAGTCCCTTGGTTTGGTGATAGGTAAACTTTTTGAAGTTCCCTAAGGTGACAAGAGATGGGATTGCTCCCACATCAGGTTTGTAGATTAGAGGATGAGGGAGACAGATTGTTGTCAAATTGGTCCCAGAGGTGAAAGCTGCATTTTGGATGGCGGCTAAATGGCATAGGCAACTGTTGAGGAGTGGGAGAACCAGGCAAGGATGGGTATGGGCAAGGGGAGAAGGATACAGGGCTGATTCTGAAGGAAACAACCCCAGAGCCTCATGAAGGGAGCTTTTGAGCGGGGGTAAAGGCAATAATGGAAAGAGGGGCGACAGTGGGGCAAAGCAGGCAGTGATCAAGGCTGGGAAGTGTTAGATCTCACCCCCCTGCAGGTCTGCCGTTTAGCAGGCATCACCGAGGAGACAGGAGCAGAGCTTCAAAGAGTTATAAGTTGAAGAGTCGATCTTGGCATCTGTCTGGGAAAAGTACCATAAATGACAAAGTGGGTTATGGATTTGACTGCTGCAAAGGGCACTAGAGAGTTTGCATTTGAGAGCAGACAGACTCCCCAGTGAGACTGGAGAGGTCAGGCATGCCTGGGCATGTGGGGAGGGAAAGGGCATCCACTTAGAGGAGGTGTGGGGATAAAGGAGGCCAGTGCCCTCCCTTGTTTTTACTCTTTGTTCTTTCCCTCTCAGGTCACCTCAAGGAGCCGCCTGAGCACCCTTCCATGTGGGGCCCCGTGGAGCTGGTCGGCATCATTGCCGGCCCCGTGTTCCTCCTATTTCTCATCATCATCATCGTTTTCCTTGTCATTAACTATCATCAGCGTGTCTATCACAACCGCCAGAGGCTGGACATGGAAGATCCCTCGTGTGAGATGTGCCTGTCCAAAGACAAGACGCTCCAAGATCTCGTCTACGATCTCTCCACGTCGGGGTCTGGCTCAGGTACCCGGTTCTTCCGGCCTTGTGTGTGTGGTTGGCCTTCGGCACTGCTTCCCGGCAGGAAAGAGCATGCATGAGGAGAGCCGGGCCTTATGCTTGTTTCTAGCAGCATTGAGTCTTTTGGTTTCATACTTCCCCTCCTTGTGGAGTCTGACATGTAATAAGATAGAGGGTCACAGAAAATCTTTCGTTCCCTAGGATTCCAAAGGTCAAGTGCAGAACTCTCTCTTCCAGAAACGCTGCCTCTCTCCAAGCTCTGTAACCATACATCTATTAAAATTCACCTGGTTCCGCCTGAGCGGCCGACTGCTCAATCTAAGGGCCTCTTTTGAGAAACAGGAGTGTGCCGCGTTCCTGGGAGGTGGTGGCAGCTAATCATTGATCTCTGAGCAGCACAAGGGGAGTTTGAGGACACTGAGTGAAGCTGAAGGCTGGGCTTGGTGAATCATTGACTTGTCCCGGTTGCCCACGGGTTTTCATGCGGTAAATAAAGGCAGCTTGGGCTTCCAGCGGCGTCAGCTCCGTTTCTCGTCCTGCCTGTTGGTCACCGAGTCTTCCTTAGATGAGGGAATCGAACCAAACACTGGGCCTTGTCCTCAGACCAGGATTGGCAAAAGGGAATTGGATTGGTCGGGTCTCAGGGTATACAGCTCAGCTAGCTAGTAGAGATGAGTATGAAGATAAACAATTATTTTAGTGATGGTGGTATTCTGTTCTTGTAAAAAAAAAAAAAAAATCACAAAAATCATTATTGTTTCCATTGTAGCTAAAACATACAGAATCATGTTTGTGAGAACTTGTGTTTATGTGGTGTATTTTTTTTGCCATGTGACAAGACTGTTCTGTAGGGAAATTATACCGTCAGTCATAGCCAGACATTTCTCCTTGAACACAAGGAATACTTTGACATCTCTTGAATTTTAGTGGTTTTGCCTTTATTAAGCTCTGCAGTAGAGTGTGCCAAAATGATGGATGTATTAAAAGCTGTATACATTTAGGAAGAGAGAAAATAGATGGCCTGTTCTTTGATGAGGAGGAAGGGCAGTGGTTAGAACTTCCTTGACTGCCTGTGATGTGATTTGCTGTCAGAGGAGGTAGCTCGGTTTTCAGAGTCCAGCTGAGGCTCTGGAAGGTGTGTGGTGTTAGTCAGCTGGAGTGGAGTGATTGGTAACCATTTCTCTCTGGATGGTTTAGTCCATTCTTAATTCGGAACATGCAGCGCTTCCACGGTGTTGGAGTCTTAATCTGTGGATTTAAAGCGAATAAGTCCTTGCTCTTATGTGACTGTCAGTTCACATGAACAAATACATATGGAACGTGTATGATACAGGATGAACCAAGATAAGAAGGGAGCTGAGCCAAAGCTGGATAAGAGACGGAGATGGCTGGGAAAGGTCCTCCAGAGGGGGTGCACGCAAAGGGGTCTTGAACACTGAATTTGAGGTTTTAAGGGAAATGAGAGGACAGGGAACATTCCAGGCCAAAGAAAATGTCTTGAGCAAAAGGACAAAAAGGCATGAAACTTCACCGGGTGTTTGGAGAATGACAGAGAATCCGGCATGGTGTGGCCACGCTGGGTGGGAAGGGACAGGCTGACCAGGAGGAAAGGACCTTTGGTGCTGTGCTCTTTCTGGCAAGATCAGAGGCATCTACTGAACCGTTTCCTGTGGAAGGAGTTCTGGCAGTGTAGTGGAGGATCAATTTGTTCATTTGCCAACCTCCTGTGAGAGGGCAGGGTGGGGTGAGGTGTGTGTGGGTTGCAGGGCAGGAGCAGGGTGAGAGGGGAGGCAGAAAGACCAGTTGGAAGTGTTTTAAAGAAGGGCCTGAACTAGGATGGCACAGAGAAGATGGGGTCTAATTTGAGAAACATTTTGCTGTCTCTATACTGCATATAGTTTAAAAGCATGAACTTTAAGAGTCAGACAGTTCTAGGTTTTAATTCCTGTATTGCCACTTATATGCATTTGAATGAGTTACTTAGCCTTCTCCCTTTGGGCCTCAGTTTTCTCATCTGTAAAATGGGGATAATAAAAATGCCCACCTTAGAGATATTTGTGAGGAAATGAGATAATTTATGTTAAGCCCTTAACATAATGCTTAAAGCATACAGTAAATGGTCACTTACACCCACAAGAGTTAGGGATTAATAACATTTTTTTATTTGGTCAGGGAGAGTAAATGAGAGAGTTGAGTTAGTCTTGATGGTAGGGGTGGATTGGTTAGATAGGGAGGCATTGAATGAGTCAAATGAGGCAATAAATGAGTTCTAGAAAGACAATAAAATTAATCTTAGAATAAGCATGAGTAGTCTCCCATTCTGCATCTGGAGCTCCACCTGTGAGCAGAACTTTGATCTCTAGATCCTTATATGCCTTGACCACAATTTGGATTTCATGGGCCACGCAGCACTGCCCTCTAGTGGCAAGTGAGCAGAGCAGCCAGAAGGTGCTCCCTGTGCTCAAGGCCTCACTTCCATCTTTTCTGTCCTTTTTCCTGTTCATCTGCATAAGGTGGATGTGGATGGACTGGCCCACAGGTGGCTGGTTACAGAGCTGACAAATCTGGTCAGATGTTTATATTAAAATCTGTCACCCACGCTCACTGAGAGGATAAATGCTTATAGTCAGGAACAGCTGATCCTTTGCATTTCCCTTTCTGTGTTCACTCTCAGGCGCTGCCTGGCTTAGTCTTCTGGTGGGTTACCTGGACGTGGTGCGGGGGCAGCCACAGCTCTCCACGGCCAGGGCACCGGTGTGGCCTCGGGCACGGTGATGCGGACCTCTCCGGTGGGGCAGTGCGAGCGGGCGTTTCAGAGCGCAGCAGAGTGACAGTGTGCTTCCTTCCACCCATTGTCCACAGGGTTACCGCTCTTCGTCCAGCGCACAGTGGCCAGGACCATCGTCCTACAGGAGATCATTGGCAAGGGCCGGTTCGGAGAGGTGTGGCGCGGCCGCTGGAGAGGGGGCGACGTGGCTGTGAAGATCTTCTCTTCTCGTGAAGAACGGTCTTGGTTCCGGGAAGCAGAGATATACCAGACAGTCATGCTGCGTCACGAGAACATCCTCGGATTTATTGCTGCTGACAATAAAGGTAAAGAAAGGGCTGGGTGTGGAGACAGCGTGTCCTAAAGCCAACCATGGCACCAGACAGAGGGGTGACTGGCCAGCACGGCTCTGTTTGCCTTCATATTACTATCCATAGAGAGAGAATCTAAATCTATACTACTAATAGAGGACTGTGCAAATTGTCCAGGACACCGTCACAGTAACCACCGAACAGCAGGGGGGACAGCAGGAGGGTGGGCAGTTAGGGGCGATCAGGCTGGTAGGCAGAGGTGGTTAGGGGTGATCAGGCAGACAGGCAGGTGAATAGTTAGGAGCCAGTGGTCCCGGATTGTGAGAGGGATGTCTGACTGCCGGTTTAGGCCTGATACCCAGGATTGGGCCTAAACCAGCAGTCGGACATCCCTGAGGGGTCCCGGATTGGAGAAGGTGCAGGCTGGTCTGGGGCCCCCCCTGACCCGTGCATGAATTTTGTGCACCAGGCTTCTAGAAGGGTAATAATTTTCAAACTTTTCTCTACAAAAATCTTATGTAGAAACCCAGGTTATTAGCAAGAAAATAAGCAGTTATTAACAGGTAAACAGGATAAAGCTCTTGCCCTTCTTGCTCACTTCCCTTCCAAGACACTCTCAAACCTCCCCTCACTCCCCCTAGGGTAGTCGCTGAGGGGCCCCAGGCAGTTTAACTTGAAGAAAACCGGAGGGAAGAACTGTGGCCTCAGCTCCTGCCAGGAAGGGATGGCCCCAGAAAAGCACGCCGTCCACATTCTGTGACACCCCAGCAGCAGGCACAGTTTTGCAGCAAAGCAGTGACCTGCCTGCCCCCAGAGTGCTGCCTCGTGCCTTTCAGACTCAGCTTTGGGCCCACTTATTTCTGAGGCCCCTTATTTCCTCCTCCTCCTCGCTCCTGTTTTTGCTTTTGTTTTTGAGTCTCTCTTGTGTGACCAGGCACATTGTCATTTTTGAGGACCTCATTCACTACAAAGGGATAAAATAATGGCTTGTTATAGGATGTGATGAAGTAACACTGTTCTAGTGAGCACAGTCGGGGGTGAGAAGCGGGTCCGGGAGGGCACACCTGAGCTAGATGGAGGCGAAGGTGCAGGAGCTGGTCAGAAAGCAGGACCGGTGGAAGGCTCACTCCAGACAGGTGAGCAGGGTGAAGTGTGTTTGGGAACCTGCAGGTAACTTGGGATGGCAGTTACAGCAGAAGACGTGGTGAGGTCACGGAGGCCAGATGTGGGGGCCTTTTTTAAAGGAGTGTATTTTTTTTTTTTATGAGATAGTGGGTGGTAACTGAAATTTCATTCATTGATTCAATAACATCTATTGACAACTACGGGCAGGACCTCTGCCAGCTGCTTGGATCATCGCACCTAAGAACAAGACCCAGTCCCCACCCTCACAGCCCTGGGAAGAGGGTACGGCAGACACATGGGGAGGTGGTCCGTCCACTTGGAGTCAAAGTCCATGAGGCTGTGGGCTTGACCGTTTGGGAATCTCCTGGCCGTTTGACACAGTTTGTTCCAGGGCACAGCGATTTTTAGAAGTTAGTGTCTACACAGCCTGCGGAAGATGCTAGTATTTACGTTTCCTTCCTCAAACAGCAGCAGGCCGTCATTCCTCACATCGCTGTGGGGGTGGGTAGTGATCCCAGCTAAGAGTCTTGGTTTCATACACAAGGGAAAAAGCGGAAGAGAATTTTTTACTCCTTCTGATTGAAACAGCATCGCCTTAGAATAAAATTTAAATCTTACATATATTTTAAAGGATCAAAAGATGTCTTCCCTTTTGACTTATTGGTAGGGTCCTCAAGTCTTGGGGGCTGGTTGGCGTGTAAGGGTGTGTTGAGTGGACCCCTGTTCAGAGAAGCTAAAACTAGTGCTGATGGATCTGGCAGCTGTGTGAATCGGGCCTGGCCTGGCTGTCGAAGCCACATTGGACCAGAGGAAAGGAAAATGGGACTCCTCTGACTTGCCTATTTTATTGATTTTTTTTTAGAGAGAGGAAGGGAGATGGGTAGAAAGCTAAAAATATCAATGATGAGAGAGAATCATCGACCAACTGCCTCCTGCACACTCCCCACCGGGGATGTGCCCGCAACCAATGTACATGCCCTTGACCGGAATCGAACCTGGGACCCCTCAGTCCGCAGACCGATGGTCTATTTACTGAGCCAAACCGGTTTCAGCCTGACTTGCCTTTTAACACGATATGTAGTACAGCGTAGGGTCCTGGAACTAGCCCTGGCATGGAATTTAGGAGATCTCAATCCAATTTTCACTTTTCAACTACAGCATAACCCAATCAGATTGACAGCTTTTGGTTTTACTTTTTCTCCCCCTCCTTCTCCCCTGCACATCCCCACCCCCACAATGTGTAAGGGTGTGTGCTCTGCACCTTCCATTGCTCTTCTGAGAGCGAGGTGACCTCTGGAGTACTTGGACCTCTGTGCTCGTCATGCCCTGAAAAGTTGTTTGGCCTGAGATATAATAATGCACAAAGGAGCCCTTTCCTACTCAGAGCTCATAACCTGGAAAGAGCAATGGATTTAGAGGAAGAAATGCTACAAATGAGACAGGTGCTGGGGCTGGGCTCAGGGTCTTGGAGACTGGGGTGGGGGAAGGTAGAGGAGGTTATGGGGGAGGGGAGGTAACTGGTGATTTAAGGAGATTTGAGCGCACAATACAATATTCCAGGTGATGTGTTACAGAATTGCACACTGGAACCTATATAATTTTATTAACACGTTACCACAATAAGTTCCATTTCTGAAAAAGGGTCTTGCCGCGGAGAGGACCTGCGAAGCCGCCCTCTGGGCGGTGGTGGGCCAGCCGACCGTGGTTGCTAACGCAGATGAGCGGTCTCCTCAGGGTCAAAGCAGCGTTACTCTCTCTGAGCACACGCTTCCTCTTCCGGAGGCCTCTCGCTTCAAATTTGGGGTTATAGTGGGAGGCTTTCCAGAACCCGACAGCCTCCTACGAGAAATAAGGGAGCAGGTCTGAGAAAGAAATGCTGTTCTCCTGGCCTCCCTGGAGCCCAAAACTGGGGGCTGGTTGGCGTGTAAGGGTGTGTTGACACCCGTAGATGAAGGGTGCAGAGAGGACCTCGGAGGTGTGGAGGCGAGAGGTGGGAGTTGGGAGCAATGGAGTCCATGTCCCACACATCTTCCGTTCCTGCTGTAACCTCTGGCTGTGCTTCTTACCTTACCTGGTTGTGGAACTCTTCTGTGTTCTCTGCAGATAATGGCACCTGGACACAGCTGTGGCTCGTCTCGGACTACCATGAGCATGGCTCCCTGTTTGATTATCTTAACCGGTACACGGTGACGATCGAGGGGATGATCAAGCTGGCCTTGTCTGCTGCCAGTGGGCTGGCGCACCTGCACATGGAGATCGTGGGCACCCAAGGTGAGTGGATCCCACCAAGGAGCAGTGATGCTGAGTTGACTTTAAAAGCTTGTACCAGCCGGGACTGGTTTGGCTCAGTGGATAGAGCGTCGGCCTGCGGACTGAAGGGTCCCGGGTTCGATTCCGGTCAGGGGCATGTGCGTTGGTTGCGGGCACATCCCCTGTGGGGGCTGTACAGGAGGCAGCTGATCGATGATTCTCTCTCATCGATGTTTCTAACTTTCTGTCCATCTCTTCCTCTCTGTGAAAAATCAATAAAATATATATTTTTTTAAAAAGCTTGTACCATCCTGATCTGGTCCCCGGACACCTTTTTACTGAGAAAGCTGGTACTGTCGTTTACTCTAAAGGAGAGGGCTTTGGGCTTGACTTGAGTGCGCACAAGAGGATCTCCAGGCGTCTACCTGCCTGCCTCTAGCACTCCCATGGAGGCTCTCGTGGGGAAGTGCAGGAACTGGCCATTTCTTGGCCTGGCATAGTTGTTGGTGGGCAAGCTAGTGTGCATTGAGGAATCACCTCAGAAGTCCACAGTGCACAGGAACTCAGAGGATTCAGCAGACTCTGACGGGAGCATCAGTTTAGTAATTTCACACATTCATTGTTGGGGCAGCCGGCTGAAAGACTGCTTGGTGGATTAGACCCTGGGCTTCCCTAGACTAGGAAGCTTTTTCTGGAGGCATCCATCCCTGTTGTTGGCTGTAATGTCAGCGCTTTAGGAAATCCTGAATCTTGTCACGGTGGCAGGGTGTGTTCCCTGATGCCTCATTGACCAGGGCAACAGCACTTGCTGGCCACAACAGAAAGCTAGCCGTTAAAGTTTGGTCCAGTTCTTAGCTGCTGCCAGGTATCAGCAGTCCTTACTAATGGGTGGGTGATTTTGTCTGATCTAAGACCTAGCCAACACAGCCGCTTTTCTTCGAGTTCTCAGCACTTCGCGCGCTGGAGCATGTTGGCTCAGGGAAGGCGAGCAGTGGCAGTAGTCATAGTAATAGCATCTATCACGCATGCCCTTCTGAGCTCATCACTCACTACGTTAATGCATTTCCCCTCGAAACGTTTCCATGAAGTCAGTCCTGGGGCTAGGCCTTACGGTTGGGTTAAGTCACTTTCCCAGGGTTACTGGGTTAGTGGGAGGCAACGCCAGGACTCAAACTCATGCAACCTTCCTAACATTCAGTCTGGCTGTAGACGCTTGCTTGTAACATTTTTACTGCCTTTCTGTAAAGGTCCCTGTTTTTCCTCTGCCAGGGAAGCCTGGGATTGCTCATCGAGACTTGAAGTCGAAGAACATCCTCGTGAAGAAAAACGGCATGTGCGCCATCGCAGACCTGGGGCTGGCCGTGCGTCACGACGCCGTCACTGACACCATTGACATCGCCCCAAACCAGAGGGTGGGCACCAAACGGTAGGAAGGCCCTGGGCCTCTGCCTTTGCCCTCTGCCCGTCCTGAGTGGTCCATGTGTGCCCTACCTCGTTGCACAGGAGAAAGCCAGAGAGGGTCTGCTGACCGGCTGAATCTCAGGGAACTTCACTAAGTTGTTTTGTTGCTTTTCCCTCCCCTTTGACCTGAATGAATGAATGACCCAGGATCCAAATGTGAGGCCTGAGGCGACCCCTCATTTAAGCGCGCGCACGCACGTGTGTGTGTGTGTGTGTGTGTGTGTGTGTGTGTGTGTGTCGTTAGCTGAGAGGGACTTTGATGACTATCTAGAATAATTTTCACATTATCTAAAACCAGGTAAGATAAGATAAAGAAGTAAAGAATGAAATTTAAGCGCAATCCATCACTGTGGCTACATTTAATTAAGTCCAAGACCCCAGTAGCAAATATATATCTCCCTGTGACCCACAGCACAAATACCTCTGCCAAGAAATCGAAACATGCTAAAAATAAATCTTGATGTTAAAAAGCAGAGGTACAAGTAAGAGTAGCCTATGCTGTTTCCCAAAGCTATGCTGAAGAATTTATATTTGAATCCAAAACATGGGGGTTTCCAATAAAAACTGATCAGTTCCTCATTCTCAAGGGGCTTTTTTGGGTGATCCCACATTCTGAGGCCTTGAGTCAGTGCTTCTATTGAAGGAGAGAAGTCATCTCTTCCTGTGCATGATCCTGTTTCCTTTGCTGTTGCAGATACATGGCCCCCGAAGTGCTTGATGAAACCATTAACATGAAGCACTTTGACTCCTTTAAATGTGCTGACATCTATGCCCTCGGGCTTGTGTATTGGGAGATTGCTCGAAGATGCAATTCTGGAGGTACTTTTCTCTTCTGCCTTTTCTTGCTCCTGCCTCCCAGTCTAGGATGCTGATCACCGGAGGATGTTGGTGTTCTACTGCCTTCTTTCTTTCTACAACCTGTCAGATGCCTAGTGACAGACACTATCAATCACAGCGTTCTCATCAAATATGAGGGAACCTTGGAGGTAGCTGTGCTGAGGGTGTGTTTACTCTTTGGAACAGCTTCCAGAATAGTGCTTTACATTGTGGTAAACATTCTGAAGGCCTATTTGGCTTTTTAAAAATTTTAAACAGATTGTTCTTACTGGTCCTGGAGCTTGCGAAGGTCCCGGGCAGGAATAGCATGAGACTACTGCAGGGGTCTCCTTTGTACAGGAGGCGTTGTATGCCAACACACCGGCTCTCAAGCTGCGCTCCTGGGGAACATGGGTTTCATTGACAGATTAATAGTGGTAATTTCTCAATTTGTAGGACAAAGCTTACCAGTGTGTAGAGTTTTCTCAAAATGAGTTTTTCTCTTGTACTTTTTCTTAAGTCTTTGGAATTTGCTACTGCTCACTCATGTCAGAATCGAGTAAAGGGAAGTGTCAGGTTTAGCTGAGAACATTTTTGTCATCAGCTTAGTACGTCAGTATTTTACAATGACTTTTAAATATGCTGCCCTCAAGTTCAAGAACCACTAGACCCCTGCCCTCAGCCACCTATCTCTAAGAAATTCCAGTCGGGAATGAAATGAAATGAATTAAAAAGAACTGGTGAGTCTTCCAGCTAGACCCCTTTCTGTGTTAGTTTTTTTCTGTCTATAATATTTTTGATAAGAACCAAATTATGGAGAAGGCACCCAGATATTCATAGAATTGTACTTCTAAAATTTTGATCCTTATATACAGAAAACAGATTAAGAAAATCTGGTCACACAGATCTTAAATTGAGTAACTGAACTTGTTCTTTCTCATATCATCCAGAAATTGGAGCTAAGTGTATAATAAAAATAATGCTAATATTTACCCCTTTTATGTATAAATTAGTTTAATCTTTATTATAAACCTGTAAAGTGGGTACTAATATTGTCACCATTTTGCAGATGAAGAAAATGAGTCATAGGTTAGCTAATTTGTCTAAGATCATGTGGCTGATAAACTAGGATTCAACCTGTGGTAAGTTGAGGTCAGAGCTCAAGCTCTTAACTACCTCTGAAATAATTACCAAGTCAACTCTATTGTTTTTGTTTGTTTGTTTTTTATTTCATAGTAGAAGGGAAAAGGAGAGAGAGAGAACCATCAGTGATGAGAATATTGATCAGTTGCTTCTACATTCCACACTGGGGACTGAGCTCACTGCTGGAGCATGTGCCCTTACTGGGAATCAAACTTGATCTCCTGATTCTTAGGTTGATGCTCAACCACTGAGCAACACTGGCCAGGCTGGACTCTATTTAAAAGTCTCCTGTTAGCTCCGGATAACAGAATTTTTTCTGGAAAAAGGCATGAGAAAGTTACATGGTATTTTTTAAAATATATTTTTATTGATTTCAGAGAGGAAGGGAAGGGGGGAGAGAGATAGAAATCAATAATGAGAGAGAATCATTGATTGGCTGCTTTCAGCATGCCCCCCACTGGGGATTGAGCCTGGGATCCTTCAGTTCACAGGCTGACATTCTGTCCACTGAGCCAAACTGGTTAGGGCACATTGGATTTTTTAAATTAAATTTTTATTATGGAAAATATTTCAGTATGTAGCTCTGATTTCCAAAAATAATACTCATCACACTTTTTTAAATGGACATTAATTCTTAATATCATTTACATCAGTGCTGGGACCGGTTTGGCTCAATGGATAGAGCGTCGGCTTGGGAACTGAAGGGCCCCGGGTTCGATTCCGGTCAAGGGCATGTACCTTGGTTGCGGGCATATCCCCAGTAGGGGGTATGCAAGAGGCAGCTGATCGATGATTCTCTCTCATTGATGTTTCTAACTCTCTATCTCTCTCCCTTCCTCTCTGTATAAAATCAATAAAATATATTTTAAAAAATATATATATCATTTACATCAGTCAGTGTTGCTATTTCCCCAATTTTCTCCTGAACAGTTTATTCAAAATTAGGGTTGATGTTTACTTGTTGCAGTTGAATGATGCATTGCTTAAGTCTCTTATAATCTACTAGAGGCCCAGTGCACTAATTCGTGCACAGGTGGGATCTGACCAGCCTGCCCAATGCGGGGGCAATTGGGGGCCAGACTGGCCAGGGGGAAGGGCCACAGGAGGTTGGCTGGCCAGTCCTGCCCCCTATTGGGGTTGGGGTGCTGATCGGGGCCCTGATCAGGTCAATTGGCTGTCACAGTGCATGTCATAGTGAGTGGTCCTTCTTGTTGTTCAGTTGTTCAGTTGTTCTGTTGTTCCGGTCACTTGGCTTTTATATATATAGATAGGTTTCACCTCGATTTATTCCCCCATGGTTTTTTTAATTGGAGAATCCAGTCATTTGTCCTATAAATTTTCCTGTTTGTCTCTTCATGAAGTTCATGTGACTTTTCTGTGATAGTTACATTTAATGACTACAATCAGATTTTTTCCCCAAAAAAGTTCTTCAGTTGCAAGGCATATAGTGCTGGTAACTCTGTTTCTGTGATGTTAACAGCCATCGATGATCATAACAAGGTGTCTAGTTTGAATAGGAAAGCCAGGAAAAATACTTGATTTCCATTTATCAGAATAACAAGTTTGTTACCTATCATCTACAAAGGTGACCATGATTTTGAGGGTTTTGTTGTTTCATTTAAGTATGAACTGGAAGAATTTTTTTTTTTTGAATTGGTGGATTTTAAATATTTGTCTCCATTAAAGTTATTCTTACTGTTGCATAAATGTTCTCATCTTTGACTAGTTGGGAGCTTTTCAAGTTGGTGCCTGTCAGCTTGACCTCAGTTGTCTTTGATAGTGTTCTTGCTTTTTGGGATGAAAGAGATGTTTCTGGCTAATGGTCTGTACCTCCTGTCCCATCCTTAGATCCAGCGAGCTCTCCACGGAGCCCATTCCCTCCCGTGGGACGTGGTGTGTGCAGGCCACAGTGTGCTTGTTCTTATTGGAGTCTGAGTCATCTCCTCCTTCTGCCGGTAACTCAGTGGACATTTCCTTTTCTTCCAGGAGTCCATGAAGAATATCAGCTGCCGTATTATGACGTAGTGCCCTCTGACCCTTCCATCGAGGAAATGCGCAAGGTCGTATGCGACCAGAAGCTGCGGCCCAACATCCCCAACTGGTGGCAGAGCTACGAGGTAGGAAGCTCCCCGCCTCCTGCTGCTTCCGTCTCGTGGTTTTCTGCCTTACCTGGCAGCGGGCCCAGCCCCCGAGTGTGTCTGTTACGACACACCACTGTGCTATAAGATACTAAGCCCTGAGAGGCCACCGGCCCCTTGGGAATCCACAGCCTAGTACAGTGGTCGGCAAACTCATTAGTCCACAGAGCCAAATATCAACAGAACAACGATTGAAACTTCTTTTGAGAGCCGAAAACCGACTTCTGCGCATGAGCCACGAAGTTTCAATCACACTGTACGTGGTTGCCCGCACATGTTATTTTGTGGAAGGAGCCACATTCAAGGGGCCAAAGAGCCGCGTGTGGCTCGTGAGCCGCAATTTGCCGACCACTGGCCTAGTAGAAGAAATTGGCCCTGGGGACACAGATAAGAGGAGACAGAGGCCTGTCTAACTGGAAAGTGACTTAGTGAGTACATACATGTCTGTGCAGGAGGTGGCCTTTCCAACAATCCAGAGGAAGGGAGGAGGATGTGGAGAATTTGAATTTGGGGGAAATGGCAGATGAAGTGAAGAGGGAACAACGTGCCTGACTGGCATAGCTCAACAGTTGAACATCAACTTGTGAACCAGGAGGTCATGGTTTGATTCCGGGTCAAGGCACCTGCCCGGGTTACAGGCTGGGTCTCCAGGATGGGGCATGCAGGAGGCAGCTGATGAATGATTCTCTCTCATCATTGATGTTCTCTCTCTCTTCTTCTCCTTTCCTCTCTGAAATCAATAAAAATATTTAAAAAAAAAAAAAAAAAAAAAAAGGAAGCATTTTGTGGAAAGAATTGAAATGACAAATTTATTATACAGATCCCTGATAAACACGGAGTTCTGGGTCGTAGAGTCTTCAGGGGGAGAGGGTTTGCCTAGCTAAGTGCACTTGGGCCTCTTTTTTCCTCATAGCTCTGCTTTTTTTATTTTATTTTTATTTCAGAGAGGAAGGGAGAGGGAGAGAGAGAAAAATATCAATGATGAGACAGAATCATAGATTGGCTGCCTTCTGCACAACCTCAATGGGGATCTAGCCTGTAACCCAGGCATGGGCCCTGACCCAGAATGGAGCCCTGACCTTGTTCATAGGTCAACTACTGGCAGGCAGCTCTGCTTTTTAGGAATATACCCACTAGAGGGCGCTTCTGCATCGACAAAAAAATTACCAGTAGTTCACATTTTAGGTGGTGTCCTCTCATTGCATAATACAGCAACATTTTCCAAATGTTCCTTGGAACCCCTGGTTGGGTTTACTTCAGAGGATGAGTGTGAGGTTGGAAGAGTTGCTTTTACTGCCCTGCTCCACCCTCCGTTCAGTCACCACTGTTTGTAATGTTGGGACTCTACTCAGAAAAGTGGGGGGAAAATTTTTCTTCCTGTCTGAAAATTCCACTGCTAAAAGGAATTTTGAAAAACAGTGGCCTAGAGCAGCAATCGAGGAACTTCGTAGCCCTCAGTCACCAGTAATGGTCCTCAGGTGACCTTCCATGTCCCTTTTGGCCGGGCTTTAAGTGGTCACCTGGGTCATCCTGGCGACGGCAGTGGAGCTCTTTCTGCCTCTGACAGGATTGCTTTCAGGGGTAGTCTCCATTGGGGCCTTACTAACTGTTCTTTTAGAAAGTAGCAAGTGGCCCTGACCGGTTTGGTTCAGTGGACAGCATCAGCCTGAGGACTGAAGGGTCCGGGATTCGATTTTGGTCAAGGGCGTGTACCTTGGTTGCAAACTCGATCCCCGGTCCTTGGCCCTGGTCGGAGCATGTAGAGGAGGCAGCCAATTGATGTGTCCTTCTCACATCGATGCTTTCTGTGTCTCTGTCTCTCCCCCTCCCTTCCACTGTCTCTGAAAAAACAACCAATGGAAAAAATATCACTGGGGTGAAGATTAACAAACAAACAGACAAAAGTGGCAGATGAGCCCTGGCCAGGTAGAGCATTGTCCTGATAATGCCAAAATTGTAGGTTTGATTTCTGGTCAAAACACATACAAAAAAGCAACCAGCCTGACTGGGTTGCTCAGTGGGAGAGCATCAACCTATTAACCAGGAATTCGATTCCTGGTCAGGGTATATGCCTGAGTTTCAGGCTCAATCCCCAGGGTGGGGCAGCCAATCAATGATTCTCTCTTATCATTTGGATGTTTCTATCTTTCTCTCCCCCTCTCCGTTCCTCTCTGAAATCAATAAAAATTATTCAAAGAAAAATTAAAAATGCAACCAGTGAACGCATAAATAAGTGGAACAACAAACCAATTTCTCTCTTGCCCTCCCTTCTTTCCTCTCTCTAAAGCCAATAAAAAAATTTTTAAGTAACAATGGAACAATAATCATGAAAATCGATTCTCAAACCTGATAGAAATGATTGTCAGACCACACGTGGTTGTGGGTATTTCTCTCCAGATTGCGCAGATGATGGGGAGAGGCTCGCTGTGCTGCAGGGAGCTCCCTCTTTACTGACGCTGTCTCCTTGTGCCTGCACAGCTGTCCCCTAAGGAAGGGCGAGCCATGGGGACAGGGAAGCTTGCAAAGTGTTTCCCTGAGTTCAGAAGGGAGAGGAGGACCTGGCAGACTTTCCCTGAGAAGTGAGGGGCCTGGGAACCAGAAAGGCTTCCGCTGGGCAGGGTCACACTGATGCCTCTGGGTCTCTGCAGGCGCTACGAGTGATGGGGAAGATGATGCGAGAGTGCTGGTACGCCAACGGCGCGGCCCGCCTGACCGCTCTGCGCATTAAGAAGACCCTCTCCCAGCTCAGCGTGCAGGAAGACGTGAAGATCTAACCTGCTTCCCTCCCCTACCTGCAACCTGGGCAGCGAGGACTACACGGAGCTGCCATGTCGAGCGTACGACGGAGGCCTACCTCTCGTTTCTGCCCAGCCCTCTGTGGCCAGAAGCCCTGGCCCGAAAGAGGGAAAGAGCCCGGGAGACCCGCTCACTCCCACGTTGGGTTTGAGACACAGATACCTTTTATACTTACCTCCTCGTGGCATGGAGACTCTGAGCGAATTGTGTGAGAACTCAGTGCCACAACTCAAACTGGTTGTAGTGGGAAGCCCCGCCCAACCCGGTGCTCCTGGGTATATCCAGGAGGGGCGGCGGCGGCGCCTGGAGGGCCCAGGTGAAGCTGAGTGCCGAGCAGCACTGAGATTTTCCTCCAGGGACAGCCCAGCGCCGAGGCGGCCAGAGCCGCAGCGCAGCCCGCTGGCAGGCAGTGCTGGCCCCGTGCTCACCCTCCACGGACATCGGCAGGGCTGCCCGCGGGGACAGAACCCGCTCCTGTCTGTCCAGCCAGGTGTGCATGTGCTGAGGTGTGTCTCCTGTGGTGCCTGGTCCGTGCCACCGTGTGTGTGTGTGTGTGTGTGTGTGTGTGTGTGTGTGTGTGTACACGTACGTACATGTGTGTGTCTAGGTGTGTACTTCCCTGCTTGAGCTTTCTGTGCATGTGCAGGTCAGGGGTGTGTTCGTCATACCGTCTTCGTGCTGGTGCCTCTGTTGAGTAGTGAGCAGCGTCTCGTTTCCTGGCGCCCTGCCCAGAGGTCTCCTCCCGGCCCCGGCCCCGGCCCCGGCCCCGGCCCCGGCCCCGAGCTCTGAGCCACGGCACCTCCTTTCCCACAGGCCCTCTGCCCACCGGGTGAGCACTGCTCTCCGTTTCACACCCGAACCAAAGCTGGCCCAGTTGTCTGCGGCAGGCGAGGCTTTTGGGTCCAAGTGTGCGGGAGGGGTGAGTGGACAGGGAAAGCATCGGGTGAGTCTGGGCGTGTGGGCAGCTGCCACCGTGGGAAATGAGCCAGCCCCGGGCACGTCCTCGCACATCGAGGAAGGCTCGAGGCGTTGGGAGCCCAGATCCGGGGCTCGGATTAGAATGTCACATCTCTTTCCCGTCCCGGAGTCTGGGAACAGCCGTGTATATTCTTGGTGGTGGTGGGTTTGGGGGGAGGGGGAGGGGACAAGGAGTGGGGAGGGCGTGGGGGGGGCATCTGCATGGGTCTTTTACTGGATTATCTGATGACGGTGGAGGGGAGGTAGGAGGTTGTGCCCACGCCAGGGGCCCTGCTAAAGGGAACAGCCTGAGCCGAATCATATTTAACCTGAATGTAGTATTTAACGACGTCTAGAAGCACGGTTGTGGGTGGTGGTTTGGTCACCATATCTTAGGTATATAATAACTTTGAAGCCATAACTTTTAACTGGAGTGGGTTTTTTGTTTGTTGTTGTTTTTTTTTTTTAAATAATTTTATTGGAAGGGTCTAGATTTTAACTTTTTTTAATATTAAGTTTTTTATAAAAGAAAAACCATCTCTATGTGATGATTACCTCTCAATTTATTTGTTTTTAAAGAAATCCCTACAAAATCAACCACAAAAAAAAAAGAAAGAAAGAAAAAGCTCCAATCAAGTGCACATAGCTCAATCACACTGGAAATGTCTGTCCTTGTCCTGAGCCTGTCCCCGCTCCCCAGGAGAGACCCGTCCTGCCCTGGGGGCTCGTCTCTCTTGCTTCTGCCCACCCCTCCCCAGGCCCACGAGTGGTTTGGGGCCAGGGCCCTGCCTTCTGTGCATTGTCCAGCCGGCTGCACCCTCTCCTCCAGGCATTTGCTCTGCTCATGTTGGTGCCTGTTGGGTGCCAGGCACCGCTCAGTGCTGGGAATATGGCTGTGAGCGCTGAGGAAGGACCTGCTCCGATAGTGGGGGCCTGTTTTGAGGCCAGAAGTTTGGTACAGTAGTTGGTTCTGGAACGATTGCTCTCCCAGAAGAAGACCACTGAGGAGCCAGGATGCCTCCCACGCCAAAGAGACCGGTGGTAGGCACCAGAGCCCGGTCACGGCGTTCCTCCTGAGCTCCTGCCTGCCCCGGGAGCTGTGTGGATCCAGCGTCACAGCCGCCCTGCTCCCGCCCAGCGATTCTCTGCCAAAGCTTGTGGAGGAGGGGGCGCCCTCTCCCTGCTTCGTGTCTCCCGATGCCCCTGGCCCTTCTATTTATTTTCCTGATGTGTTGCCTCTTTCCTTGTGTTAAAGGAGATTTCCCCTAACTGTTTGGGCCAATTTACTGGCTATTGACTAATTTCCCTTGAATACCAATTGTGTCATCAGGGGACTTTCTTTCCTCACCTCTGCTGGCCCCTCACCCCTCTGCCCTGCAGAACCTGGCGGGCTCTGAGTGATAACGGGAATAGACTCCTGTGCCCGTCACAACCAGCCTCTGGGATCTGCCAACACTCCTCAGCCCAGGGACTCCCACGCCACTTGCCTGCTCCCTCGGTGGCCCTTCGTCCTCCCCGCACGGGCGTCCAGCTCCTCCCCCCGGGGAAGGCTGGGCAGTTTTGGGGGGAAGCTCCCGTCCTCACCCTTGCCACTCTTGGCCGTAAGCGTTAGGAGTCTGGAGAGTTGGGGAGAAACTACAGCCTGAAGCCGTGGTGGTTGGCCCCTGGGGCTCACCCTGACCCTTAGGGCACCTGCACCTCTGGATTCTGGACTCGCAGACCAAGACCAAGCCCGTCTTCTGTTGCCATCAAGGCCCCCGAACGGCATTCTCGGTACTTCTGTTTGTTTTTGTACATTTTATTAGGACTGTAAAATAGCCACTTAGACACTTTACCTCTTCAGTATGCAAATGTAAATACGTTGTAATATAGGAAATCTTTTGTTTTAATATAAGAATGAGCCTGTCCAATTTCTGCTGTACATTATTAAAGTTTTATTCACAGAGCTGTTCTGGAGCCATCTGTATTTTTTTTAAAGTAAATCCTTATTGATTTCAGAGAGGAAGAGAGAAACATGATGAGAGAATCATTAACCGGCTGCCTCCACATGCCCCCACTGGTGATCGAGCCTGCAACCCAGCCTTTGGCTGGAATCGAACCTGGGACCTTCTGCCTGAAGGCTAAAGCTCCATCCACTGAGCCAAATGGGCTAGGTCCTGGTGCCATCTGTTTTTCCATCTGAGTTGCTCCCACTGGGCCAGGTAGCAGGTCACAGAGGAGCTGGCCCAGCCCTGTCGGGGCTCCTGAGACTCCTCTGTTCCGTGGAGGGAGAAGGCCTGGCATGTGAGGGAGTGGGACACTGAACACCTCCTGGGCTTTGTCTATAGTTTAGTCTTGTATCATTTTCCTTTTTAGACAAAAGGGGGTCTTGATCCTGCTTAGTTGCAAACCACGTCGTCATGAAGACAGCCTACAATTCTCCTCGTTTGCTCCTCATGTGGAGCGTGAGTGTGCATTTGGGGCTTTGGATGTGAGTCTCCAGTGGTTCCTCTGGCATTCTCGGTGTGGGTGGCTGTGGATGTCTCCAGGCTGGGGGAACCTGGGATAAAAGTCCTAGAATCAATTCCACGTTTAGGTGGGACCCTAGAGGTACCCGCGCCTACCACCCATTGGGCACTTGCCTCCTGACAGCTGCCCACCACGTGGTTGTGGGCCTCGTGATTCGAACCTCCCGCTGTGACACTCGGGATCACACCTTGCACGTCCGCGGTGGAGAGCGTCCTTCCTCACGTAGAACCGTGTGACTTCCATCTGCAGGTGCTTCAGAGCCGCTTTCTCTCTTCCTTATAAGGCCCTTGTAATACGTGAAGGCAGCTGTCATGTTACCACAAATCTGGCAAAGCTTCCGGTTTCTTCAGTTAATATTAGCAGACACTTAACGTGTGCTGAGCAATGCGCCCAAAATTGCTTTATGTATTTGATTGCTTTAATCCTAAAAGCGTGTGAGGTCCTCTCTATATGGATTAGGAATCGGGGTTAGAGTATTCAAGAAGATGGCCGGTAAATCCAATAAGCTCAGCTCACGGGCTGGAAAAGACCTTGGGTCTAGGATGTCGGACTGCAGCCCTTTAGCCTTTGTCCAGCCTCCGTGGTCCTCGGTTCCTCCCCAGGCCCGCGGCTCTTCGCTGAGCCTCTGGAGCCCCGGCCAGGAAGGACACGTAACATTTCACCTTGGCATTAGCTGGCACACAGACCAGAACAGGAGTCCTGGGCTGTGCCTGACACTGGCAGGTCACCTCCCATGGCTGCGTCTCCTGTCTCGGGTTGAGTAAAATCCAGCCTCCTTCCTCTGTCTTTTATAAGGGAAGTTGAACTCAGGTGCAGGACCGCATATGTTTAATTACCCTGTTAAGTTTTACCATAGAACCTGCCTGTTGCTCCGGCCTGTCGATATTTTAAAATTCTGATGGTTTGCCCAGACTTTTTCCTTGTTTTCCCGTCTGAGACTGTGGGGCTGGAGAAAGTCTAGTAACTTACTTTTCGAAGTTGGCTTTTTAAGTTTGGCATCTATCCCCATTTCCTAGGTTAGCTGCTGATTAAATGCTCGCTGGCCACAATTCTCTGACGCACAAGGAAACAGCAGAAGCCCAGGTAGCTTGCTGAAGTGGCCAAGTACTGGGGCCGCTGCCTCTCTTTGACCTACCTATGTGTCGGAAAGAAAGGGGAAGTGGCTTGTAGCTAATCTCAACCCAGACAGTTCAAAAGACAGACGGTCACCTTGCAGGCATGGACTTCCAATTCCCTAGGCTATGGATTGCAGGTTCAACTTCATTCTGGAAATCAGAATGCCAGCCATTCTGGCACCTCTTTATGTGCCCTCGGAGGTTACTAACAGGGTTTCACCTTTGTAAGGCCCAGTCCAGGAGACCTGAATCCATTTGGCTGGTGTGTCACTTAGGTTTCCGTTACAAACATTTTACATTCCTGCTTCCTCCTTCCCCCCAGGCCATGTCTTGTGATCTTTGCAGTCTGGAAAACATGATTGCTAAAAACAACCAAAACAAAATAAGGAGTAGAGTAGGAGCCTTCAACAGACACTTGGGATCATAGAGGGATGCAGAATGAAGGTGGTGGGAGGGGAAGAAGCTTTGGATCTAGCCAGGAATGCTGTATTAGGGTTCCCCAGAGAAAGAGTAAGGTGGAGGGGGGAGGGGGTAGATGGATAGATTTTTAAAAAATATATTTTATTCATTTTTCACAGAGAAGAAGGGAGAGGGACAGAGAGTTAGAAGCATCAATGAGAGAGAGACATCGATCAGCTGCCTCCTACACACATCCCACTGGGGATGTGCCCACAACCAAAGTACATGCCCTTGACTGGAATCAAACCTGGGACCCTTCAGTCTGTAGACTGGCTCTCTATCCACTGAGCCAAGCCAGTCAGGGCAATAGATAGATTTTTTTAAGGAATTGATTCATGGTTTTGGGGCTGGCAAGTCTGAAATGAGGCCAGCACGCTAGAGAGCCAGGGAAGAATTGATGACGCAGTCTTGTGTCCGAAGGCAGCCTGGAGGCAGAATTCCTTTTTCCTCAGGGACCTCAGTGCTTTAAGGCTTTCAGCGGAGTGATGAAGCCCAACCACATTTGCAAGGCAATCTGCTTTGCTGAAATTCTGATTTAAAGGTTAATCATACCTCAAACATGCCTTCACAGCAATGTCTAAGCTGATGTTTGACCAAGCACCAGCACACCCAACAGAGAGTTAGTTGATGGGCACTCCATGGTCAGACAGGATGGCATAAGGAATATGGCAGAGAGCCCTGGGTCTGTCTGGGAATGCTCTTTGGAAGTCAAGGATAGGGCTCATGGGGTAGGAAGGTTTAAGGAACAATTAATGTATATTAATAATAAGTAGATTGTTATTAAATAAGCATTTGTCGAGCAACTGTAGTGTGTAAAGCAGAAGGCAGAATGAATAATCGTCAGAGAGAGAGGACCTGTAGGGAGGGAATGATGAAGCAGATTTTGGCAAGTTCCAGTACGGAGTGATGGAAGCACAGATGCTGGGCCTAGGGAGCCACAGGACTGCCCTCTGGGCCCCTCGCTGGCCGAACAGACTAGTAAATTGGTAACTACAAGGAACTGAGATAAGGGCTGTGATAAGGACTGACACCAAATGCTCTGGGAACTGAGGACAAACAAGAGGTTAGGTGCTGGAAAACAAATCTGTTTCACTAAAAGAGAGATGTTGACAGGAAGGCTGGTCAACAACCTTAATTGCTCTAACCTTTAGTTGAGATATTATTAGCTGAAGCAACCTCCACCTTGTTTGTCCCTTGTAAGTCTCTGTTATTTCCTGCCTAAGGGCTACATGTAAATTTCTATTTATGTTGCCTAAGATGTTTTCCCCAAAGCCTCCATAAAAGGGATGACAGGGCCAGAGCAGCCCACTAGAGTTGGACTACTGCCTGCCCCCATATTGCCAAGTTGAATTTCTTCAAAGTCTCAAGTCTCTTCATTTGTGTGCGGCCCTTCTCCAGAACCCGAACCCGAACCCGAACCCTGAATTGGAACTCTTTCCACGTGGGTCTTGAAAGAGATTCCTAAAGTTGGGATCAAAAGAGGTGACATCTCATCTTTTCTGGAGCAGACATTGGCCTGCTGATTGAGGAGAGGAGGGAGTTTTGGTCAAAACGAGTGTGTCACCAAGAACCACGTAAGTCAGTACGGCTGGTGCAGGGGAACCAGGGCTGCAACGGAGCCGTCATATGCTGAAAAAGCATTCATTCAGGGGCCACCAAGACCATCACTTCCTGTGACAGCTACCCCGAAGGTGCTAACCTATCAGTCATTTTTTCCCCTCTTGAGTCTGGACGTGGTCTCCACATTTTTCTCAGCAGCATGCTTATGTGGAGTTGTCCCATAACGCCTCTCGGTCGTTCCCGATGCAGGGAACGGGCACGTTAAAGCAAGGCTTTACGCAAGGGCATGATGTGACCCTGGAAGTGTTTGGGGACAATCACAGCACTGACTCCAGGAAGCAACTGCAGTGGTGGTAGCAGGACCAGCTGCAGGAAACGGGGAGACTGCTGGTAGAATGCACGGGTTTGGGGCGTGAGCAAAAGCAAACAGGGAGAGAAAGAGGCGTGCTGGCCAGTGTAAACAGGAGAGTCTTAGCCTGGTGCCTGCTGCCCTCCCCCTGCCCCCTCCGAGAGGGAATGAACCAGCCGAGCAGCTGTGTTAGCCAAGAGGGTGGAGACCCGGGGAACCTGGGTCCCTAAGAGCTGCCGCTTTCTGTCCTAACAGAAGCAGGTAAACCATGCATACCTCTGTCCTAAGAGGTGCTGTACGGAGAGCAGGAAAGTAACCCTTCTTCCTTCCACCAGTCTGACTTGTTCAGGCTGGAGACACCTTGCCACTCCAGCACAAGAGAATCTCTGACCTCTGGGTGGGACCAAACTCAGAGGCCACCCATATCCAACGGAAATAAACAGTCCTATCTGCCTCGCCCCAACATGCAAACCCCCTAGAATCACGTCTGGGTTGGGCTGGATCCCCCTGCCGCTGGGGTCCCCTGAGCCACAGCACTACACTCACACTAACCCTTGGGAACTGCTGAGCAATAGGAGTCATTCCGAAACACAACCACTCCTTCCCTGTCAGCTGCCCACCGGCTGTCCATGCCTCCCTCAGTGCCATGCAACTGGGGCCCAGCCCCTCATTCCTGACCAGAGAGCCAGCTGAGTCCCAGGCCTCCTGCCCCCTCTCCCCCCTCCAACCCCCTGCAACACCCAGAGAGGAGCCCCGGTGGCAGACAGTCATCCCTCCAGCTCTGCCACTGAGTGAGACTCCAGAGGGGCCTGAGGTTCTGGAGCGTGAGCAGGCGGCTGGGGTGAGATCCAGCTCTCCCACTTCCGCTTGGGGGCTGTGGAGTGTCCGGGCAAGGGCTTGTGCCGAAGAGAAGGGAGTCCTACCTTGGCCTTGTCCAGGAGCTGAGCCCCTGCTGTCTGTGCCCCCAGCACAAGCCAAGCCCTGCCCTGCGAGCTGGGAGCTCGGGCGGCTGGGGCAAAAGGAAGCCAGACGCGGGGAGCTCCTCCTGGAAGGTAGGGGGCGTGCCCTTGGGAATGAAGTGCCCGGGGAGTGCAGATGTCCCAGGAGCCAGAGCGACGGGGCTTTTGCAAGGGGCTTCCCAGAGAGAGGAGAAGAGGGGATTGGCGCTGGTTCGGGGTGCGGGCAGAGTGCAGCACGCTCCCTCCCACCCTCAGTCCCCCTCCCCCAGCGACAAGGAGCTGCAGGAGACGGATGAGGAGAAGATGCCGGACGGACGAGAGGCTGGGCCTCGGAGCAGTGCTGGAGGCTTGGCGAAGGCAGAGGTCGGGGCCTCTGTGCGTCCGGCAGAGGTTACACACCAGGCCGCCGGCCAGCCCTCTGCCTTCCCCATGAGTTCCTCCTGCAGCGGGGCAGCGCTGGCTGAGGTCACAACGCAGCTTCCTCTCGGAGACGGTCTGAGACCCCGACCTCGCTGGCTCACGTGGAGCGGGGCTCCTCCGGGGAACACAGACCCTGGGGTGGGAGAGTTGGGAGGACCCACACCACCAGCTGGGGTTCCGGGTGGAGTCCTGGCACCAGCCCTGCAGTCTGATTTGAAGGTTTTCCACCAGGAGAGTCCTGACCACCAGAGGGCATCACCACCCCACGGTGTGGTATTGTCACCGCCTTTTCCCTGGAGAAGCCGGGGGGGGGGGGGGGGGGGGGGCAAGCAGCCAGGGCTCTGCGCTCTCAGGGGAGCTACCAGCAACGAACAAAATGGCCCTTGAGGTCAAGAGCCCGGGATCTCGTGGTGATAGCACCTGTTCGGCCACCCCCTTGGCCTCGGGGTGCCTCCTCCGTTAGACCAGGGCTTTATCCACATGGTAACCCTTCGGACCATAAGGCCCTTTCCAGCTCTGAAATTCCTGGGTTTGGGGAATCGTGCGATGACCCTGACAGAACTGCATCCCCCATGCCCACCCTCCCTCTGGGGCTCTCTGGGGCTCTCTGCCTGGCAGGAGGAGGGGCCTGGCGACCTTCTCTGGGGGTGGCCTCTGCTTGAAGCAGGGAGGCAGACCGGCCTGCATGCTGAGGGGGGTCTGCCTCCGCCTCGGCCTGGAGGACCGTCCCCGCAGGGCTGTCGGCCCCGTGCTGCGCTGCCCACAGCGTCCACCTCCGCAGCCTCCCGCAGGGAGGTGTCGGTGAGGCCGCCCCTCCGGGAGAGGCAGGATGGCGGCCCTTTCGCAGGTCTCTGTGGGGATAAGCACAGGAATACAGAGAATAGAAACCATTGCCTCTGCCGCCTTCGCTCGCCTCCCACCCCCACCCCACCCCCAACGCAGATGCCGTCTGTCAGGAGCAGGCAGCAGACGGTCCAGGGGTCCATCTGTGCTAATGCTTCACAATAAAGCCCGTGTTTCCCCACCGACACCCCCTCCGCCCCTCCGCCAATGGCCCCTTGGTGGTGCCAAGGGGAGAAGTGGGAGGAGGAGGATGAAGGCACCCTAGGAGTTAGCGCTCAGCTCCTGGCAGTCCCCCCTCCACCCCTGCCCTCCACCCAACAGGCATGCTGCCATCTGGACTTGTGTGATCACCGAGGGGCAGAGAGTACCCCCTCCCACCCACACCTCCTGCAGGGCAGGGCCCGGGGCCCGGGGCCTGGGGGTGGGGAAGAGGCAGACACAGAAACTCAAGGAGACAAGGAAGCTAGGTGACTGTGTGACAGACCCCTGAGTGAAATGAACAGGAGACAGCCTGTCCCGGCTGCCCCGAGAGGATGTGGCCACTTGTCCCTCCGAACGCCTCATGCCAGGTGTCCAACCCCACACCTGTGCAGGCACACTCCTTGCCAGCCCAGGAGCCTCTGTGACCCCGGTGCCCCCCCAGGACCTGGCCTGCAGCCGGGCTTCCATGCGGGGAGAAGGAAGAGCTGAAGGTGACAGCATCAGAGCGTGGTGGCTTGCAGGCTCTGGAATCGGGCTGTCAGGGGTTGAATCTCAGCTCTGCCACTCAGTAGCCTAGGGCAGTGGTCGGCAAACTCATTAGTCAACGAAGCCAAATATCAACAGTACAACGATTGACATTTCTTTTGAGAGCCAAATTTTTTAAACTTAAACTATATAGGTAGCTATGTTGTTATTAACCTAATTAGAGTACTCCTAAGCTGGCCTTTGCTAAAAACTCAAGGGGCCAAAGAGCCGCATGTGGCTCGAGAGCCGCAGTTTGCCGACCACTGGCCTAGAGCAAGTTACTGAGCCTCGCTGGGCCTGGGCTTCCTGTGTGTAAGGGAGGGTGATCACACCTGTGTCACAGGGTTGTCATGAGAACCAAGTGAGTTAATTTGTGTATGCAAAGCATATGCAGAGCAGGGTGCACAGCACATGATCCGTGTGCGTGAATGTTAGCATCAAGGCTGACACTGGGACAGCGCTCCCTGGCCTTGGCCTCTGTGCAGTGGCTGAGGTGGTGCTGGGCACCCTGTGGGGGTTACCACCCTGTGGGGGTTCCCCGCTCCTCAGACGCCAGACCTGGCCTTCCCCTTCCTCCTCTCACTTCTTATTCGGGCACCTCTGACGGCAGCGCCTTCAGCTGGGCCGCCCCCACCTCTCCTGTGGCCTGGGGCCCTCAGTCTGGGTCAGAGCGGAGCTGAGCACACCCCAACCTTGAACTCCGGAGCAGCGGAGGGAGGCACACCGCCTCCCCATGAGTCAGCTCCTCCATGTGCTGGGGAGGGGGTGGTGAGCTCTGACGTCAGGGGCTGAGGACAGGTTTCCCCAGGAGGGGCCACTTCTTCCCCTCCGAGCGGCCGGCCGGGATAAGCCCACCGTCTCCAGGGTTCCCACCCCTTTCCTTCCCCTGACTTGGGGGGCGGAGGAGGCCTCTCTGACCTCCGCTGGGGAGCCTGGCCTCGCCCTCCGTGGGCCCTGCACAGCCCCGGCCTCTCCGCTGGCCCACCGTCCTCCGCAGCCCCCAGGTCTCCCAGGAGCTCCCCTGGGTGCACCCCTCCTCACCGGACCCCTTCCCGTTCCTCCACCGCCAGGGGTCCCCGAGTCCCCAGAGCATCCGCCCGCAAAGACTCACCTCTCCCAGCGAACCCCTCCCCAGCACCCCTCCACCAGGGGTCCCGGAGACCCGGGGCCGCCCAGGACGCCCGGCTTCCCCCTTCCTTCCCCCCCTTCGTCCCCCCCGCCCCGCCTCCGCGGCCGGGTCCCTCACTGAGCGCTCCGCTCCCCGACTTTCCCCCGCGCACCGCGCGGGGCTCTGGGCTCCGGGCGTCCCCGGGGGCGGGGCCTGCGCGGGGGCTTGGCCGCCGGGAGGCCGCCCCGCCCCGCCCGGCCCGCCCGCGGAGCCTATAAAGGGAGGCGCCGCCCGCCCGGCGGCACCCCGAGCTGCAGCCCGTCGCCCGCGGCGGAGCCAGCGCCTCCGAGGGGCGCGGGCCGCGGCCGCAGCGATGACCCTCCGCCGGCTCCGGAAGCCGCCGCCGAAGGAGGAGGCAGCCGCCGCCCCGGGCCCCGCCGCCCGGGCGCCCGCCCCCGGAGGGGCCCCGGCGCGGCCCCCGGCCTCGGGCGCCCCCGCAGCCGCCGCCGGCGCCGGGCCCGCGGGGGACGCGCTGTACGCGGCGCTGGAGGACGTCCACCCCGCCGAGCTGTACCGCGCGCTCGCCGTGTCGGGGGGCACCCTGCCCCGCCGGAAGGTGCGTCCTCCCCGCGGGCCTCGCGGACCCTCCGGGCCGCTACTCCGCCCCGGGGTCCCTTCCAGCCCGCAGCACCCCCACCTGTGCCCCCCGCGACCCTCCCAGCATCCCGCCCAGGGCCCCCCAGTCCGCCGCTATGCGCCCCAGCCCGACCCCCCACGGCCAGGGCCAGACCAGCCGAGTTCCCTCGGCCCCGTCCCTGGAGCTGCCCGCCCCTGGCCCCCGCCTCGCCGCCGCCCCATCTGACTCCCTCCTGACCCCCCAGCACCCCCTTTTCCTCCCCATCCAGCTGGCCGGCACCTCCGCGCCCTGCCGCCCGGAGCCCAGGGGTCCCGCAGCCCGAGGGCCCCTCGCCAGCTCCTGCAGGGGAGCGGGGCCGGGCTGGGGACCCGGTGGAGAGGACGGTCCGGAACGCTCCCTCTTCGGAGGGGGCTCTGGGCGCCTCGGCCGGGGCTGCCGCCCTGCGGGGGGCGAGGTCACGGCTCCGGGACCTGGCCGGGCCGGACTGGCCGGACCGGACGCGGTGGGAGGGGTCCCAGGCGCCCGCGGGGCAGGAAGGATGCGGGCCTCGCCTGCCCTCTGCGTCTCCCCTCCTCCGCGGGCTCTTCCTCTGGCCCCGGGGAAGCCCGAGCTCTGAGCAGGGGGCCGGAGTCGGGGTACAGACCCAGGTTAGGAGAGGGGGCTGGCGGCCTTTCCTCGCTCGTCCCCCTCCTCCTCCTCCCCTGGCCCTCGGCTCCCCCCACACAATGAACAGCTTGTTGAGGATTTGCATTTTATGAAAATAGGGTGGAAAGACAAAGGGGTCTCTTTCTGGGCTGCCCCGTGCTTCCTCTCGGCCCCTTGGGAAGTGTCCCCACCCCTGAGGTCAGTCTCTGGCTCTGGAGAAAGAGGGTCCCCTTATCTTCCGAGCCTTGGGGAGGCTTGTGAGGAGAGTTAACCTGGGCACCAACCAGGAAGGCCCAGGGCTCCTTGGGCTCATGGGACAATGGCTGGTCTGGGACTTCCTCCGAGGATCAATACTTTAGGGGGAGAGAAGGGGTATGGGGTAGGGAGGGATTGTTTTAGTTTCTCAAGGGCCCTAAAGAGGCAGGAACGCTCTGCTCTTTCATCCCCCCCCCCAAAAAATAAATAAATAAATAAATAAATAAAGAACTCCCAGTCTCTCTCCTAAATATGATGAGACTTAAGGATACATTAGAGGACTAAGGATTTTGTTTGTTCTTGTCCCAGAAAGCATCCAATGCCCAAGTCCCTGAAACACTCCGTAGTTTGGAGGAGGCCACGGCCCCTCTGGCCCCTGCCTCCCCGCAGTTGGGCTGGGATTGCCCGCCCTCAGACCTGGGCCGGGAGCCCAGCGCTCCAAGCCACTGTCTGCGGCTGAGAGATTAGGAGAGGCCTGCCTGGCGAGCGGTCTGCGAGGCCTGGGCCCTTGCACCCCGGGGTGGAGACTGTTCTGCCGAGATGAGTGAAACGCCCATCCCCAGTGTGGGCCTAGAGGTCTGTGTGTCTAGAACCCGGGACTGTGTGTCTCTGCAGTCCCCGTTACGGGGAGGATGCCGTGGGGTGACGCTGATAGTGGACTTAGCAAGTAGTTAAGCAGATGTGCAACTGGGACCAGACTGCAGGGAGTGGTGGGGCCGGGGCTGGGGCCCCGGGAGGAACCTCCCAGAGCCAGGCTCTCAGCATCTGCTCAGGGACAGCCTTTTTCTCACCTGCCCCTTCCTGACTCTTAACGTCTTCCTGCCCAGGGTTCAGGATTCCGCTGGAAGAATCTCAGCCAGAGTCCTGAGCAGCAGCGGTGAGTAACCACCACCCCTGCCCCTGCCCCTGCCCTGGCTCAAAGCGGGGAGGCACCTGGGGAGGTGGGGGGCAGCCTGACAGTATCTCGCCCAGCCAGGGGCAGTCATTCTCCCACCCTTTCAGCCTGGCTCCCTCCCGTGAAGTAAGGGGCGGGTGTGGGTGTGGGTGTGGGTGTGGTGTGGGCTGTGTGAAGGAGGTAGCACAGAAAGAGTCCCTACTTTTCAGTCATCAGATGCTCCTCAACCCACCCCTGGTCCCTGCAAATGTCCCCTTCCCTTGGGAGGCCTGGCCCTGGGAGGTGAGGAAGTTAAGAGAAGTTTCCAGGGTCCTGAGCCCCCCCAGCCCCAGCCAACCCAGAGGGCCCAGACCGTCGCTGAGCTGTGTCCAGCTGCTTCAGTCTCGCTGCCCTGGCTCCCAGAACCCGCCCCATCCCGTAGCAGCCCTGCCAGGAAGGGCCTGAGGGAGAGCAGACCTCAGTGCTGGTCCGGGCCCCACTCAGCCGGGTCCCGGTTTGGGCCTGGCTGCTTCTAAAATGGATCAGCTGGCCAGGCGGGCCTGCTTGGTGCCTGAGCGAAGAGCTGTTTTTATACGTCTAAAGGGTTGTTAAAATAAAAACAAAGAACCGTGTACGAGAGGCTGAATGAACTCCGAAAAGAAAGCCTAAACTATTTACTGCCTGACCCTTCGCCGAAAAAGTTTGCCAGCCCTTCCAGAAAACCCGAGCGCCCTGGGATAAACACTGACTCCTCAGCTGCCCTGCTCCCTTCCCCAGTGCACTCCGAGGCTCCGGCTGGGAATTGCCACTCAGCACTGGGGGAGTAGTATCTGGGTCAGGCTGCGAGCCGCGGACCTGGGTCTCCAGGGCCTCTCAGAGCGAGGAGCCGCGAAGGGGCTTTTGGCAGCTGCTCTCACTCTGCCTCTGGCGGGGAGGGAAGGAAGGGGGCGGAGTGGGCAGAGGAAACTCTAGGCTCCCCCAGCAGGCGAGGACCTGGAGCAGCTCCAGACCATTGTGTCCAGTGGGCAGGCCCTCCGTGCGGGAAGGGGCGGCCTTGAGGCTCCCCTCCCCCCAGCGCTCACATCTGGTGGGCCGGCCCCACCGAAGCTGGGAGGAGCAGCTGTGGTCTGGGCTCAGCCTCGTGACTGGCCTCTGGGGGGGCGGAGGGGGAGGGCGGGGGCAGGGCCAGCCCTCTTCCCAAGGCTGTGGATCAGAGGAGGCTCCAGGCTGGGGCTGAATTTAGAGCCTTCACTAACTCAGTCAGTGCCACTCTGGGGCTCAGAGGAAGGAGGAACTGACTAAGAAATGATCCAGCTCGTCCACCAGCTCTGGGGGCTGGACCTTCCCAGTGCCTCTCCCACCGGAGGCTGGATGGACTCTGGGCGGCGGGAGGAAGCTGATTTCGGCTGGGCACGGGGAGGACATTCCAGCAACCTGTGCTGAGAATGAGTTGTCCCTGGAGACAGGGAGCCCTGACTGGCTGTTCCCTAGCCGGCTCTGGCAGTGGCAGGCCACGCTACGGGACTGCCAAGCTCCTTTCAATGCTGACAGCCTTGATGAGATGGCCCTTGTGTCTCCTGCAGGAAAGTGCTGACTCTGAAGAAGGAGGAAAACCAGACCTTCGGCTTTGAGATCCAGGTGGGAGACGCTGGGTGCAGAGCAAGTGAGAGGTTGGGAGGCCAGTCTGAGGAATTGGGGGGTGGGGGGCTGCCCCAACCCAGGACTAAGGGGTCCCCTTGTCTGTTACAGACATACGGCCTTCACCACCGGGAGGAGCAGCGAGTGGAGATGGTGACTTTTGTCTGCCGGGTTCATGAGGCCAGCCCTGCCCAGCTGGCTGGGCTCATGCCAGGTGGGGCCAGAGCTCAAGACATGGGGCTCTGGGAAGGGGTGTACCCTTCCTCCCAAGCAGAGGGGGCGAGAACTCTCGTCTGAAACCAGTTCCCCTCCCTTGCCCTGGTTTAGGAAGGCCGGAAAGAAGAATGGGTAGGTTCCAGGCTTTGGTCCAGGCACATTTGCCATTTACCATGTGATCTAGCAGTCTCCTCAATAAATGGGGGCAATGACATGCCCTCACCTTATAGTTGGAGAGGAGGTTCCCTTGACACAGAGCCAGGGCCGGGTAAATGCCTGATGATTTTTAAAAATATATTTTATTGATTTTTTTTTTTACAGAGAGGAAGGGAGAGGGATAGAGAGTTAGAAACATTGATCAGAGAGAAACATTGATCAGCTGCCTCCTGCACACCCCCTACTGGGGATGTGCCCGCAACCCAGGTACATGCCTGTGACCAGAATCGAACCTGGGACCCTTCAGTCTGCAGGCTGACACTCTATCCACTGAGCCAAACCGGTCAGGGCTGCCTGATGATGTTTTGCCCCCTCCTGGCAATCGGGCAACCCAGCGGCTGCAGGAGCTGGGCAAGGAGCAACCTTCCCTTCGATCTGCCTGATCTTATGGGTCAGGGCCTATCCTGCCCCTGACTGGCCCAGTTCTGGGGTACCTGTGTGACTTCCTCTAACAGGGAAATGATGCTCCATAGGAGACCCTGGGGATTGGCCAAGTCTAGAGTCCCAAGTCCCAGGAAGGAGCAGCATGAAACTGCACAAACGGGCCCCTCCCAATTCTGCTACCATTTTCTTCCCAAAGTCCTCACCTGCTTGCCCACTCACCAGCAGCCCCTCATGGCCAATTGGTATATTGCAACTTTGTAAAACAGGTTCACCCCACTCTCCTTCCAGATCCCGGAGGTGGGCACAGCTGGGGTCACGCCCAGGTGGGCACAGCTGGGAAAGGAACTCGGAGCTGGCGGTTTGCCCTGCCCGGGGTCAGGAGGCTATGCAATGGCACAGGGGATGAGACGCACCCCTGCCCAGGGCCAGTGTTAGTTCTCAGCTCTGTGCTGCTCACCCTGCCCACTCCCTGTCTGTCTGGGTCTCATGACAGCCTTTGGGCTAGAATGAAACGATCTTCTCCGGGGGCAGCCCGAAGTTGCTGGGCGGGCTCAGCCTTTGGGGTCAGAGCTTCCTGAGGATGGAGTGTGGGGGTGGGTTGAAGAGGGCCTGACCCCTAGGCTGGGGTCTGGGCCTGGACAGGTTCTTCCCACAGCCATGGGGAGGTGGGAGGGGGAGTTCAGGATGGTTCTGTGGGGTCATTGCCCCTACCCTTTCTGGCTGGGATTCTCCCCCGCACTGAGCAGATGCTGACCTGACCCCCTCTCTGCCCGGCAGGGGACACCATCGCCAGTGTCAACGGCCTGAACGTGGAAGGCATCCGTCACCGAGAGATCGTGGACATCATCAAGGCATCCGGCAACGTTCTCAGGTGCGTGCAGGAGCCAGGGTCCCGGGAGCCCTGAGCTGAGCTCAGCCTGTCTTGGTGTTTCTGCATCCTGGGCGGGCACTCACTCAGCCTTCTGTTCCCCAACCCCCTCAGGCTGGAAACTCTGTATGGAACTTCCATTCGGAAGGCGGAACTGGAGGCTCGCCTGCAGTACCTGAAGGTAACGCAGCCCGGATAGTGGCCCGCTCCCACCGCCCTCTCCCCGGGCCCCCGCCCCTGCGGCCTCACGCTTCTTCAAGGCGTCAGTTATCCGAACCTCCGTTTCACCGTAAGGTTTCCCCTGTAAACCCCCTCTGCCCCCAATCGATTGATCCCTCAGTCTGGACCCACCCCTGGCCAGTCTCCGGCTGGCTCCTGACCAGGAAGCGGGGGTGTGTGTCTTGCAGCAAACCCTGTATGAGAAGTGGGGAGAATACAGGTCCCTGATGGTGCAGGAGCAGCGGCTGGTGCACGGTGAGTACCTTGCGGCCGCGGTGAAGGGCAATCTGTGCCCCTACTGATACCCTCACGCTCTCGGCCACGTGGTCCCCCCAGAACTGGTGAGCGGGGGGGTTCCTTCCCCCTCAAAGTGAAGAACGGTTTGTTGAGCTACGACTGTGGGTACAAAACCGCCCTGGACTGGTGGCTACTCTATTCTCAATAGTCCTCTGAAGGAAGTGTTCGAAAGTGTCTCCATGTTACAGATGGGAGCACCAAGGCTCAGAGAGCAGGTTTTACAGCCCCCCACGTGGCTCATGTGCCGTACCTAGGCGGTCCCCATAAGGATCGGACTGCATCATTCATTTGACAGGCAGGGAAGTGGGACTGGGCGTTGGGACTTGCCCAGGGCCACTTAGATGGTTAATAGGAAGTTGCTGTCCCCCCCGTCCCCCTATGACCCCCCAGCTGTGCCCTCTGACTCCCTCCCTCCCCCGTCTTTGGCCCCGGCAGGCCTCGTGGTGAAGGACCCCAGCATCTACGACACGTTGGAGTCGGTGCGCTCGTGCCTGTACGGGGCTGGCCTGCTCCCCGGCTCCCTGCCCTTCGGACCGCTGCTGGCCGCGCCCGGGGCCCCCCGCGGGGGCTCGCGGCCGGCTGGGGGCGACGCCGAGGACGCCGTCTACCACACGTGCTTCTTCGAGGGCGCCCCGCCGCCCCCGCCCCCGCCGCCGCCGCCCCCCGCCCGCGCGCCGGGCCCGGGCCCGGGCCCCGCCGAGGCGCCGCCCGCGGGGCTGCGGGCCGGGCTGAGCCGCAGCGCCAGCGTGCGGTGCCCCGGCCCCGGCGGCGGCGGCGGCGGCGGCGCGCCCGGCGCGCTCTGGACTGAGGCCCGCGAGCAGGCGCTGTGCGGGCCCGGCCTGCGCAAGGCCAAGTACCGCAGCTTCCGCCGGCGGCTGCTCAAGTTCATCCCCGGACTCAACCGCTCCCTGGAGGAGGAGGAGAGCCAGCTGTAGGGGGGGCGGGCGGGGTGATATTTATTTATTTATTCGTTCCTGCCCGTGCGGAAAGCTAGGGGGCGCTGGCGAGGGAGATGGGGGACCCCAGGAGCCCAGAGCAGCGGGAGAGGGTCCCTGCCAGCTCAGCGGGGCGCCTGGCTTGTCTCTGCCCAGCAGGGGACCCCGACCCCAGATGCCTTTCCTCCTTCTGCCCGCTCCTCCCCTCCCCCGGCCACCGTGGGAGCTGGCACAGGGAGAACCAGCTGGGCTCCAGGTTGGGAGAGGTTTGGGGGGGCCATCCTCCATCTGGTCACAGTGCCTTGTGGGGTGTCCAGGAAAGCTCCTGCTGATGGGGGACCCTGTCCCACGAAGCCTCCCTCAGCTTTACTCGGCCCCTGGTCTTGGGGAGAAGAGGCTATGGCCTGTAGCCCCCCTTCCACACACACACAGTTCCAGCTGAAGGGCCCCCTCGCTCCGGCCTCAACCGGAGGGCTGGGCTGTGCACAGGGGCCTGTAACCAAGTTGGAGTCTCTGCCCCTTGGTGGGGGGTCAGAAGGAGCATGTCCGGGTGGGGTGGGGGCAGGACCGGCGGTTCCACCGTGTCGCATATTGTTGCTTCTGAACCACAAACTGTATAAAATGTACGTTTTTTTTTTTATCTGTGTCGGCGTGGTGACTGTCAGGCACACTCTGACTCCACTGTGCGCGCGCGCGCACACGTACACACAAACGCTGTGTTTTACGCCTTGTTTACCCGGAGCCCGCAGCCAGGGAAGTAGTCAGGGGATTTCTAACGAGCGGGTCTGGGCCTGAACCAGAGGCCCACGCCCTCTTCAGAACTTAGCTTCTTGTTTCAATGCATCTTGAGTCTCCCTCCCCAAATACCCACAACAGATGGCGGCCACGCCCCCTAAAGTCCTGAGCTGTCCTTGTGTAGATGGCTGTGCGGGGCACCCCCTCTTCCCAGAACACCTTAGCCATCATCCAGCCAACCTATGACGGGCCCGTCAGCGGTCTCCTCTGTGGGTTTCCAGTGTCCCCAAAACAAGATTTCTAGCTCGAATCCCCGCCTGGCTTCTCTCCCCCTCTGGGTCCCTGCCCTGGCCACCTGGTTTTACCGGGTACACGGCAGATCCCCCCCGCTTAGGGGCCTCTGCACTTGCCCGTGCCAGAGCTGGCCCCTTCGGCCCTCAACCGCTGCCTCCCGAAGGTCTTGCCGCCCCTCTGAAATACAGCCTTCGGCGAGAAGGAGTCCAACATCTTACTTGTCACCACCTGAAATGGCCTAGATTTTATGGGGTTTGGGTTCTGCCTAGCCGCCCTCCTTCCTTATCCCTGGACCATCCTTCACACAACAAGCTGTTGGGGGAAGAGCTTTCCAAAAAGGAAGTCAGATCATAACCCTTCTCGGCTTAAAACTCGTGGCTTCCCCTGGAATAAAAGAATGAGACCTAAACTGTTCTCCATAACCCGTACATCCCTCTGGGCAGACACAGTACAAAAGGCCGCCTGCCCTCTGGGGTGACAGCAGCCACAGGCCCAGCCACCTCACAGCTTGAGCCATTGTGAAGTCCTCTGGGATCTGGCCCCGCCTCTCCAAACCCAAGTTGTTTCTCCTTCCGGGTCACACGTAAGCCCCTCAGTTCTTTCTAGTCCTCTTCCTCAAATGTGCCAGCTGCTTTCCTGCCTCTGGCCTTTGTCCACGCTCTTCTCTCTGCCTGGCGTTCTCTTCTCTCCAAGGCCGATTCCTCCTCCTCAGTGCTCCGCTTCAACATTACCTCCTCAGACAGGCTTCCCTGACCTGTCCCCATTATTCTTATTTTGAGGCCCCTCCCCCATTTTCTTTATAGCATTTACTACCAATTGGTAATTCTTTAAAAATATGTTTTTATTGATGTTAGAGAAAGGGAGGGAGAGAGAGAGAAACATCGATCGGCTGCCTCCGATACACACACCCCAACAGAGGACTGAACCCACAACCGGGGTGTGTGTCTGACCAGGAATTGAACGGCGAGCCTTTGGTGCACAGGACGAAGCTCAACCTACTCAGCCACATCGGCCAGGACTGACTACCGATTGGTAATTTCACTGACTTCCTTCCGAAGGCGGGAAACTGCCTCCTTTACCTTGTCCCTCTAGGCCTAACACAGCCCTCACACAGTAGATGGTCGATCAGTGGGAATGCCTCCTTAGGGCCAGCCCTTATAGAGCTGGCCACTGCCTACCATCTCGCAGCCCTGGGTATGGGGAGGGGCCCTCCCCGCTCCACCTGTAACGGACATCTGTGGGCCTTTCACGCAATCCCCGGGGGCTGGGTGCCAGCTCCAGACGAGGCCCCTGCACCTGGCGGCCTTCCCTCCCTGGTCCAAGAGGGGGAGGGCATTTGGTTAGGAAAATGGAGCTGCCCCAGGCTCCCTGTTTGAACAGCTGTTCTGCTGTGCCGACAAAGAGGCTCCTGGGCCTAAGGCCTGAGGAGGGGCCTCTCACCTTGTTTCCAGGCCCAGCGCTGCTGGGAGACCGTTTGCCTTCCTGCCTTCCTGCTCCCAGAATAGATGCCCAGCCGTTCTCCTCCCAGCTGGTTCTTCCCCTCCCCATGCAGCTTATCCAGAGTGATGTCGGGACTCCTCGCCCAGGCTGACAGGGGCTCCTGACTAGCCCTGTGCACCCAGAGGAGGGGGAGAGGGTACCCAGGGTGTGCGGGGCTGGATCCCACCCTCAGCGGATGAAATGACGGCACCCGCACAGCAGCCTCCTGCCGTGTAGGTGGGTGACAGGGAGTGACTAATGTGTGAGCTGCGATGCTAAAAATTAACCCAGGAATGGCGTTGGGTGGAGGGGTGGGTGTGAGTGGGCAAGGAGCAGGGACTCTTATATCGTGCGGTCGGTATTCCCCCTGCCCTGCCTCCCCTCTTTCACCTCCTACCCCCCTCTGATCCCCCCAAAACCTCGGAGGACTCTAGGGGAGCCCTTCCCCACCGAGGCCAAAGGGAGCCCCAATAATGCCAGAGAGGGGGAGGAGGGGGACACCACTCCCCGTCTTGGGCCTGTTGGAGTGAGGTCACAACCCTGCAGACGGAGTTCTGATGTGAGGTCCCCACACAGCACCGCACCGGCCCCATCTCCTCAGCACGGTGGCTGCTCCTCTGTCCCAGCAGCAGACCAGAGGGGACAGTGGGGGGGGGGGGGACCGGGGAGTATCTCCCCAGCACCCGCTATGGACCCAGCACTGCACCAAGCACCTCCACACCCATCACCCCACTCAGCCGCACAGCATGGCTGAGCCATGTCCCAGGGCCCTGTTTTACAGACGAAGGAACAGAATTAGAGAGGTTAAGGCACCTGGCAGAGCCGCATCCTCTCTTATCTGTTTGTCTCTAGACCCTGCAGCGGGGAGGGGAAGGCTTCTGGGAGGGAGTGTGAGGACAGGGTCAAAGTGGGAAAGAACTACTGAGAGGAGCTTAATCTTGAAAGTTGTGGGATTCGATTTTGGGAGGGAGGGTGGGAGTATGGAGAGTGTATAAAAGGTGGGACCCGGAGGAGCAAAAGGAGGAGATCAGGTCCAGAGGGATCGAGGTTCCACAGATGTGGGTGCTATGAGGGGTGAGCTCTTGGGCGAGGGCCACACACGGGGCTTGGGCTTGGCCTAGAGACTTGTTGACCCACCCAAGAAAGCCTGTTAGGAGCGAGCCCATAGGCAGAACTGGGGACTTGAGCTGAAGAGCAGCAGGAGGAGAAGAAGTGAGACGGCACACAGCCTTTCTGCTCACTAGTCAGTCTGTCACGGGTGAGGTTGGGGAACTGAGAGGCTGTGGGACTCCTCACGGTCAAGAGGAACGTCAGGCTGTGTCGTTGGAAGGCTGCCTGGCCCTGCACGGATGGGGGGATGGGATGACCTGAAGGAGGGAGTGATGGGCTACGAGGAGTGAGAGAGAAAGGGACACGGGCTGTGAGGGAGCGGGTGATCCAGGCGGCTTTCTCAATAGAGTAAAACAGCCAGGAACTGAGACAGACCCGGTCAATAGAGCAGGTGGCCTGACCCCTGGTGGTGACCCCAGAACATTGCATCTCTCTCAGCTCTGACCTCACAGACAGGCGACCAGCAGGGTACTGGGAAGGCAGCTCTCTCTACCAGAGCCCACCTCCTCGGCCTTCCTTAGCCCTGCCCCACCCTCCGAAAGTGGAGCCTCCTCCGAATCCCACTCTCTGACCCTGGTCGTGCCCTGCATGGAGTGGGCAAACACTTGAGGCAGTTACGTCTGAAGGAACTGAGTTCAGAACTTCCCTGATCAGGCGGAGCCGGTTTGGCTCAGTGGTAGAGCGTCAGTCTGCGGACTGAAAGGTCCCGGGTTCGATTCCGGTCAGGAGCATGTACATTGGTTGCGGGCACATCCCCGGTAGGGAGTGTGCAAGAGGCAGCTGATCAATGTTTCTCTCTCATCGACGTTTCTAGCGCTCTCTCTCCCTCTCTTGCTCTCTGTAAAAAATCAATAAAAAATATATATAAAAAAAAGAACTTCCCTGATCAAACGTCATTCATTTCAACCTTCTCCTGTGGGACCCCATAAGGTCTGAAGTCTCGTGGACTGGGGCAACTGGGGCGCGGGGAGAGGGAGGAAGCATGCTTGCAAAACTGCAAGACAAACATGTTTGTTGTAAGACCCCGCCCCCCACACCTCAGTGAGTTTTCTATTCTTGGAGTTCAGCCTTTCAGTAGAGAACAAACAAATCTATGTCAAAAGTGAAAATTGTGCAAATCCTGCCTGGCTTTCCCTGCGGCTACTCTACAGAGCGACTTAGCAGCTCCCCTCACTGCTGGCCAGGCGACCTCCCCAACCCCCAGCATGACGGGCAACCCACGGCCCACTTAGAGTGCTCTCTAAACCTCACTCCGATCAGGGCCTGGCTCTACACTACTATTGCTGGGGAAGCTGGTCTCTGGTTAAGTGACTACAAGACGTGTGATTACCAACTATAAACATCCCCCCCTAAGATTGATTGGGGCGTTTGCAGGTGGGTTG